GTGTGTGTGTGTGTGTGTGTGTGTGTGTGTGTGTGTGTGTGTGTGTGTGTGTGTGAGACAGCTCCATCTGCCAAAGCATCAGAGGAAGACCAGGAGAGGACCAGGAGGCTGGCTGATGCAGAAATGCACCGGCATCACCTGGAGAGTTTACTGGACCAGAGGGATCGAGAGATTACCGCCCTCAGAGAGGTAAGGCCCACATCAACGATCCTGACTCTAAATGGCACATTTGTTGTACATTTTCCAACATCTTCCAACTTATTTTTAAAAAAAAAAATTTTTTTTTTCATGTAAAATCCCTTTTTACATTTCTGATCCAGCAGGAACTTCATCGTCGCTACGAAGGAACTCCAGAGTCCACTAAAACAAAAGCTTTACAGACTGTTATCGACATGAAGGTGAGAGTTTAACCGTTTCCGAGCGATCGGCTTCGCCACATCGTACTTCCACTGGTGACCAACTTTAAATACCCCAGGATGCAAAAATCAACTCCATGGAGCGGAGCCTGAGGGACATGGAGGAGGAGATGCTCATGATGAAATCCAACGGACTTCTGAGCTGCGAGGAGCGACAGGAGGAGATGAAGCAGATGGAGGTGTACCGCAGTCACACCAAGTTCATGAAAAACAAGGTGAGAGACGGAACCACGTCGATTTAGCTTCACTCGGACATGTAAAAGTTTGTCCTCCCAGTCTCCCGAGTTAAATTCTTTCTGTTTTTCAGATGGAGCAGGTGAAGCAGGATCTTTCCAGGAAGGACACTGAGCTGCTGGGTTTGCAGACTAAACTGGAGACCTTAACGAACCAGTTCTCAGACAGCAAACAGCACATCGAAGTCCTCAAGGAGTCTCTCACCGCCAAGGAGCAGCGCGCTGCCATCTTACAGACAGAAGTACAACAAAAGCCCAAACAGAGAACAAATCACACATTATTTGGTTAATTTTCTTTTAAACGCACGTTGTATTTGTTTTGCCAGGTCGATGCCTTACGCCTGCGCTTGGAGGAGAAGGAGGCAACTTTGAATAAGAAGAGCAAGCAGATACAAGAAATGTCCGAGGAAAAGGGAACCCTGAACGGAGAAATCCACGACCTGAAGGACATGCTGGACGTCAAGGAGCGCAAAATTAATGTGCTGCAGAAAAAGGTGAGGTTAAACATCTGCCACGCGGCGCGTCTCCTGCCGTGGATGTCCGCTTCGCCGACATTGCATTTGCTTTGCAGATTGAGAATCTGCAGGAGCAGCTGAGGGACAAAGAGAAGCAGATGAGCAGCTTGAAGGAGAGGGTGAAGTCCTTGCAGGCGGACACTTCAAACACCGACACGGCGCTCACAACGCTGGAGGAGTCTCTTGCGGAAAAGGTACGTTTACATCTTCCGGCCGGCTGCTGTAATTCCCGACTGTTTATGTGGAAAGGTTTTTTTTTGTTGTTGTTTTTTTTTTTTTTTATTGTTTCTCTCGCGCTTTCAGGAGCGAATCATCGAGCGTCTGAAGGAGCAGCGGGACAGGGACGACCGAGAGAAGACGGAGGAGCTGGACTGCTCCAAGAAGGAGCTGAAAGAGCTGAAGGAGAGGCTGAGCTTACTGCAGGGAGACCTGTCAGACCGAGAGGTGAGGAACAGATGGAGGAACACTCTCCCGTTTTGCCGGGACTCTAAAAATACACACAGAACATCTTTCTATTTTTGATGAGTCATTGTGTTTTCAGTTTTCTTCCTGCTTGATTAGCTCAAATCTGTCTTTTACATGCAGACCTCTCTGTTGGACCTGAAGGAGCACGCTTCATCTCTGGCCTCTTCAGGACTCAAGAAAGACACCAAACTCAAGAGTTTGGAAATAACCTTGGAGCAGAAGAGGGAGGAGTGCCTCAAACTGGAGAACCAGCTAAAGAGAGTGAGCTAACAGATCACGTTAGGCTACGTTCACACAGCAGGCAAATGTGACTCGAATCTGCTTTTGTGCCCATATACGACCGATATCCGGCTTTTTCACCGCAGTCTGAACGATCTAATTCTGATCTGTTCATCCCCAGAAGTATAAGATCTTTGGTACTTCCAAATGTGGAAGTAAATCAGATACGTGTCCGATTGTTTTCAAAGCGCGTGAACAGTCAGATGCGTCATAATAAAAAAAAAAAAAAGCCAGACGCAGTAAATCAAAACGTAAACAAAGGCTGAAAATTATGAACTTATGTAAGAAGTCTGTGAAAAACTGTCTGCTCCCATTGCCAAATAAACTTTAGAATTGATCCTTAAATGACTCCACCCATTATTACTTATGTTATCAATGAGCTGTTGTGTGATGTCAGCGTTCCTCTTTTGCACATGCGTGTCGCTTTGAGGATGTAAACCTTTCAAACAGAAGTCTCATTGCAGCCGAGTTTAATTGGTGTGAACGATCAAGCAAAAAAAAAAAAAATGTAATTATTTCATCAGAAAATGAGAATTGTGCATCAAGACCTTCAGTGTGAACGTAGCCTTGGTGAATGACCATCTGGCTCATTCTTACTGACGCGAATGTGATTCTTGTTAGGCTCAAAACGCGGCACTGGAAGCTCAAGCCAACACAGAGCTGGCGGAGCGCATCAGGAACCTGGAGCAGGAAGTGGTCCGACACAGAGAGGATTCTGGGAAGGCTCAGGCGGAGGTGGACCGCCTCCTCGAGATACTTAGAGAAATGGAGAACGAGAAGAACGACAAGGACAAAAAGATCAGTGAGCTGGAGAGGTGGGTTATCTGTGGTGTTTGATGAACACGGATGAAGCTTCTGCTTGTCCCGGCTGGAGTTTCTCACTTTGATTCCAGATGGTCAGAGCGACGCGAACGCATGATCTCATTCAGACGAGAGGCTGTTTTTAGTCCCCGTCGCTCAGATCTATGCAAGCTGACATGCATCTTCTAATTCTGCAGTAACTCGGTGTGATGTGTGGCATATTTCTGATTCAGCGTTTCATCTAACTCGCTAATTTTTAGCGTCTCTTTCGAAAAGGTTTGAGTTGTCGGACGAGCCTCTTTTTCTTCCTTCCTAACGTTTCCATATGTTCGGTTTCTTAGCCTGAGTCTCTTTTCTCTTTGCTGCTTTCTTTGCACTGGACATTTCTTACCTCACCAGTTTGGCCTCCAGGTTAGTACTTGCTCTTTTCTATCCGCCTGAGTCCCCTCTCACTTTATCCTCTTCTTTTGTTTCTTCCCTTCCTCTTTCCTCCTCCTGTTCCTCCAAAGTGTGTGCTGGGTGCACCCTTTATTTTTTTTACTGGGCTCTTCTTTACATTTATGCTCATGATTCCTCTTTGCCCTTGTCTGGTTTTAACTTTAAATCAAATCTGACATTGATGCTGTTGACTGGAGGAAAAATGTTGCCAAAGCAACTGTAAGGATCTGTTTGTACATCGACAATTTTAGAGTAAACTTCTCATTGGACCATATTTCTGTACGTCTGTTTTAATCTGGAAATACTTTTTTTTTATCTACATCCTTGATCCGACTAAAACAGAATGGAATTACATTTCTACCATTATCCATTCTGCAGAGGTTTCCAGACTTTTACTCCTTATTCCATGATCTAAAATATAAAAATCTGAATTTCTCAGTATTTCTATTCATTTATATTTAGGTGATGACCTGTATTTATTTTTTTACCATATCAAAACTTTAGTTGTTGTCCCTTATTAATCAGTTCACAGATAAGTATTCAAAATGTAAAATGGTCCATTTCAAAACCTTTTTTAGTCTCTAGATTTTAGCTCTGGGTTTCAAACTGGATCCAAACTTTTTAAACTGGGTTTGGTTTATAATCAGTTTTTGTTTTGTTTTTTTAAATGATCACTGCTCACAATGTGATCTAAGGTTAACTATAATTTATTTCTGATCATCTGAGATATACGTTTTAAGTATATATTTTTTTAGATATATATATTTATTGTTTTCTTAAGTATTTTTAAATGTTTACATTGTATCAAAATGTAAGAGAAAATAAACGAATAACAAAAGTTTGCCCATTACTTCACTGCAAAATCGTAAACCAGTTTTCAGACAGGAGGGATTAAGAATGGATAATAAAACCCAACTATGATGTTTAATGTTTATAATGTCACAAAAACCGAAAGGAAGCAGAAATGTTTGGGAAAATACTAAATTTAGAAATTGTAAAAACTCTGCTGAAAAACCATCAAATGTCAGATTTGCATTTTCTTTTTGTTTTACCGTTTTATTCTTTACCAAGTAAACCGAACCAATATGTTTTAGTTTTACTATAGAAGTGATGTGTTTCTGTATGTTCATTAATTCATAAAAAAAAAAAAAATCATATTCGTGGTCATCCTGTCAGCAGGTATTGCATTTTTTGTTTATATTTAAACTCGGAACCTCTTTAGCATGAAGTATTTAATGTACGTAAAGATAAAAAGGGCGGTCTATGTAACAAATCAGTTTTTTTTCCTCCTTATAATTAGCAAAGTATTTAACAGTTTCAGATTTAAATATCAGATTTCCCGTCGGTGTTTTTGCAGGAGTTAAGCATATTTTGTCTCTGCAGGCAAATGAAGGACCAGACGAAAAAGGTGGCCTCCCTGAAGCACAAGGAGCAGGTGGAGAAGAGCAGGAACGCTCGGCTGATGGAGGAGGCCAGGAAGAGGGAGGACAACCTGTCCGAGTCGTCCCAGCAGGTGAAGGTGAGGCCCGTTTCTCAGTCGCTTGGGCTCGAATGCGGTCTGCAGGAAATGCGCCCTGCGACGTCGCGTTGGCGTCTAACAAAGCAAAATCTCCGCTGGTGTGAAGGACACTCTGCGTCAGAAATCAGAGCGCATTGAGGAGCTGGAGGAGGCTCTGAGGGAGAGCGTTCAAATCACTGCTGAGCGAGAGATGGTGCTGGCGCAGGAAGAGGCCGCTCGGTCGCTACAGGAAAGACAGGTAATTAATCGCACGCACCAACAAACACACACACACACGAGCGAGATGAGTCGGTATTAGTCAACCAACAGAAGCAGCCGCTGCTGCATTTCTAAACATTCCTCTGGAAGTCTTTCTCTTTCACCTTTTGCGGTGTTGATCGCTCTCTTTGTCCTGCCTCCTCTCTTCTTCTGGCTTCCTCTTCTTCCTCAGTTCCTTTATCTTTGCTTGTCGTTTTTTTTCTTGTCTTCTTTCTGCTACACAACCGCCTCTCCGAAGCACTCACTCAAACCAATGCATGAGTCCAACCTCTCCCACTTTAAGTGGTCTAAGGTACGAGTCCAGTGTGTGTGTGATCTCCATCAGTGGTCAGCAGCTCCGTTTACAAACAACACTTCTACAAGTCATGCAGTCTCGTGCAACGCTTTCTTTAGAGGTTGTTTTCTTTTTGGTCTGTGTTGGAAGCTTTCAGATTGATGTTCAGACTGCATGGATTTGTAAAGTGTTTGTGTCGTTTCCAGCCCATGTAGATTCGGTGGGATTATGTTTACTTGCTGTTTGCTTGTAAAGTAATGTTCCTAGGCAGAGGGTTGACTTACACTGCAATGCAAACGTGTTCATACTTCTTGGATTTTCCCATATTTTATCATGACGCAACCACAAACTTCAGTATCTCGTAGAGCGCAAACGATTAATCGTATTAGTTGATTATCGAAATAATCGTCAACTAACTTAGTAAGTGATGAATCATTAATTGGGTATATTCAAACTTTAAAAAAAAAAAAGGTCATTTACTGAAAGAACAGCAATGAAGTAAAAAGCTAAAGAAAATATATATATTTGGCGCTTAAGATAAATAAATCTTTGATCTCAAGTGGCATACTTTTAGCTTTACCTCGTTCAAAACCTATACATACAGAATCTCCTGTTAAGCTCCTTTTTCTGTCCAATTAATTGGTTAATAGAAAAAATAGTCAAACACTGTTTAAGTCGAGCAGAAAGGGCTGAGCTTTCCACATGTTGATGCTGCATGTGCATTGTTTTGCTACAAACGATCAAGTATTAAAGGAATGCTGTTTTTCCATTTTAGGCAATAAAACGTTTTTTTTTTTTATTTGACAACAGAAATGAATTGTTTGCATCTTTTAATGTATTTCTAATGTATAAAAAAGGCTTACTCTGTTTCATAAAAAAATTTGCAGAATGTGACAAATTTTTATCCGATTAATCGTCAGAATAATCAATTTCTAAATTAAATGCAAAAATGTTGGAAAACTAACCCCACACATCAAACTGTCCCTTCCTGTAAGAATGCATGGCGGTGGCAGTATCGTGCTATGGTAGTGCTTTTTTTCAGCATTAGTTCTATGAAGTAATGTCTCATGAAGATTGGCTGCATATGCAGTTTTCAGATTTCTTATATGCAAAATACTTTGAAATCATGTTTCCTTTTGCTTTTACTTGACAATTGTTTCTCTTTCTTGTTGTTCCGTCACACAAAACTCCCAAAGCATGTTTAAGGTTTGTGGTTGTAGCATTGGCATAATGTGGAAAATTTTGCTGGGTATGAAAGCCTTTGTGAGGCACTGTACTCATTAGTTGGCCAGTGAATGAAGATGAACTATTCAACTTTTCTCTAGTTTGGTGAATTCTTGACAAAAACTAAACAAAACAATAACGACAACAACAAAAGAAAAACATTTGAGAGCTCATCTCATTTGCTGTGGCAGGATGTTTGTTGTCACCCCTCCGGATCAGATTTCCACCCAGCTCTGTCCCCCTCCAGGTTTCAAACGTTGCTAAAAAGTCTGAGGCACTTCTGAACACAACAAAGAGGACTGCTGCTGATGTGGAAGGCTTATTTTATTCGATCTCCATCGCTGCATTAATGTTGGTTTTCTTTTCTTTCTTTGATTGCTTGGATCTCCGTTCACTTGCATTCAGAGGTTAAAGGGACAGTTGGATTTTTTTTTTTTATGTGAGGTTATCAGAGGAAGTTTCCTTACCTGTTGTAGAAACGTCACAGCTGATGAGTCGGATCGATGCAACTCCAACAACCTTCGCTGACATTGGTTGAGAAAACGATCTGAACAACCTTAAGAGTTTGTTGGACATTTATAATGGACTAATACAGTAATATGTGAATATTTTCAGAGTTGTTTTAAGAGATGCACAGATTTTTTGATTCCTTATTTTGTGAGGCTTCGACCTGCCGATACTAAGTTTAGCCGTTTCTACTAAACGTCTTTTGTAAAACAAAGCAATGGCTTCATCAGAAACTGGACAGACCAGATTACAGGCTTGTCCCTCTCTCTCTCTGGGAATCACCCAGTGCAGAAAAACCCTTCAGCTGTACAAACAAGATCCACTTGTGGAGAATTGCAGCACATCTCCTCCTGTTTTTTTTTTTTCTCATTAACTTTTCTATCGGCAGACCGGGAAAGTTAGAAGAGCAACATATCACAAAATGTATTTGATTTGCTATTGGTAGAATTAAAAAAAAACTATTTACTGTAACTATAAATAAACCCTTAGCTGGCTTTATTACGAATTGTTTAAATCAGGCCCAGGGGTGACGTCACACTGTGTGAGTGTGTGAGAGAGAAAGAGAGAGGGAGAGAGCTAAACCAAAACCGAACCAATGAGATCATCTTCAAGACCACTACTGTATTCACAAAGTGGTTTCTTTTGGAAACTTTTAAAATAGTTCTCTGGGACTTTAAAGCGTAGGAGCAGCATGATTGTAGATTTTTATGATTTAGAAATCTTAGCATGACTGTGTTGTGTCTTTTCAAACCAGTAACTGGCCTAATTCTCAGTTACATGAACAATGGATCCCTCTTATTATTTATTTTTTTATCTTATAAAACCCCTACTGTATGTACAGGATGTCCATACATCGTTAAAAAGTCTTTAATGTATATAAAGTTAAGGCTTAAATTTATTGAAAAAATGTAAATTGGCCTGTAACATGTTAACGTTACAGGATTTAACATTAAATTTAAATTAAATTTGATCTTGGTAGGACTATTTAATTGCATATTCTATGTATTTTTTTTTCTTGCAAAAGTCTGAGTTGCAGTTTTTGATCTGTGACTCGCTGCTAATGTATCCTTATTAGCTAGCTAGCTTTTTTGCGCCCGTCATGGTGAGTTGCTTGGATGATGGTCAAACATTTCTGTGCAGATGTAGGTCTTAAATTCAACTCATAACGGCCTTAAGCTTTTTAAAAGGCTTTTAAAAAGCTCTTAAATTGGAGTTGGTGAAACCTGCAGGAACCTTGATGTGAATGATACCTGATGAAATTAAAATTAATTGAACAAAAGATGAATACTTTCCACTGCAAGAAGATTTAAATTAGTCAGTGATTGTCTCGCTGCAAAGCGCCCTCTTGCCGCTCTTTTCACAAACTCGCCCTTGTTGTTTTGATTTGCTAAAACTGTGACGGCCGTCTGACTAATTGTTAGTCTTCCTCACAGCAGTATGACTCCTTTCTCCAACAGGTAGGGAAATATATTTACAGAACCTCACTTCAAACAGTCCAAACTGTCCCTTTAAGGCACCCTGGAGTAAAACTGTTTCCAGTCTGTATGCAACTCCTTGTATATTCGTTTGCTAGTAACAGTTGTTTACTTTAGCAGGTAATGAAAACAGATTCTACAGCCGTCCTTCCCTTTCATCAGTCCATTTATCATCTAGAAACCCCTGTAAGTGTCATTTACTGGGAAAATGCTTGACAACCATTGATTTCCAGGTATATGTGTGTGTGTGTACGTTCGCGTGCGTTTCCAGATGGAGGAGCTGCTGGGTGCCATGGAGAAGGTGAAACAGGAGCTGGAGTCCATGAGGGCCAAGCTGGCGTCTACCCAGCAGTCTCTGTGTGAGAAGGAGGCCCACCTCACAACCCTAAGAGCTGAGCGCAGGAAACACCTGGAGGAGGTGCTGGAGATGAAGTAAGACCCCACACACACACACACACACACACACACACATACACACTAACTCACTCTACAGGGTGGTATAGAGTGTAGATTATTGATTGGCACCTTAATCAAGTGAAATGTCATCCATTTCTGGCTTTTCCCAGTCAGCATGCTGGCTTTGTGCTATAAATAATAGAATATACCTGAGCTATTTGTACAGCTGAGCGTCCCGTTGCTTCATCTACATCAAACAGGCAGGAGGCCCTTCTGGCCGCCATCAGTGAGAAGGACGCTAACATCGCGCTGCTGGAGTTGTCGTCCTCTAAGAAGAAGAAGACGCAGGACGAGGTGGCCCAGCTGAAGCGAGAGAAGGACAGACTGGTGCAGCAGCTCAAGCAGCAGGTGGGTAAACGCCGTCTGGGATCAGGGAGGGCCGGCGTGACAGGAGTGGTTTGGGGAGACCTGCGTTTGTACGTTCATCTGGAGTTTCACCCGGAAGTATTTTGCTGTTTATTAGAAGGGTCACCTCTGTGTCAAATGTCGAAGCTGTTTGTTGTGATTTGATTGATCCATTAGCTTTTTTTTTTTAGATTGAGTGAACAACACAAAGAAAATCAACAGTAATATCTGAAAAAACAAGAATATGCTGCATAATATGACCACAGGTCTGCGAATCTTTTGGTGTATTTTATTCTTTCTCCCAAGCATTATTTCCATAATGTACTTATTTGTTTAGTTGTTGTAGTAAGTTGTACTTCGGCTTCATTGTTTATGCATTCTCTTACAAGTCTGGTTGTTGCGCACAAGTAGAGTAATTTTTAAAAACCAGCCGTAGGGTTTTCTTCACTTGGGCCTCCACATTGTGTCACCAGGTTGCATAGCCACAAAAGAACAATAAGCCCACCTTTCACATGCTATTTATGAAAAAAAAAGATTTTGTTTCAGACCAGTGCATCACTTTCTGAACAAGAAGGTCAGGATACATATAAAATTTGAAAAAGGGGAAGTTCAGTTTGAATATTTTCCAGATGAAGAAGTGTGGAAAAGGAAAATAAGAGGATGAAAAAAATCGGTTCCTTTTTTTCCCTTAATTCTGTCATTTTTTTCCTTCCTGTCTTTGTTTTTGTTTCTATAGATCATATAGAAGTATAGGTTCTATATCAGCCTTTATCAGGCATAAATTCATAGAAAATTATTTTTTTTTTTTAGTTTATAAAGTCTGTTTTTTTAGATAAATGCATAGAAATCCTGGACCTGCACAAAGCAAAGCGACTGAAGTGAGTCCTTCGTGCACTTCGCTGGCTGTTAATGTTTTACGGTTTCTCAGATCTTTACTCCCACAAAAATAAATGCGATCTTCCAGATGTAGTTGATTTCTCAACAAGAAGAAACATCTGTAGTACATTTTATAAAAAGCAATAGGAAACCCCTCACAATCAGATCTTGGCCTGAAGTGGAAGTTTGAAGTTAAAAGTTTCATTGAAATGGTTTGAATGAAACATTCAAAAAGAAAACAACTTTGTATTTATGCATGGTCAGCTGGACAGGCCGGTGCTCATATTAGCAGCCATGTTTTCTTTGGATGGAGTCAGAAAACGTCACTGCTGACATTTTGAACTTTTCTCTGTTTTTAATCGTCAGACTCAGAACAGAATGAAGCTGATGGCCGACAACTACGAAGACGATCATTTGAAGGCTGCACACGACCACACAAATCACAAACCCTCTCCAGATCAGGTAATCTATTTGACCCGGATCTGATTTGACAACATCTCAGTCGCTGAAAAGATCTCCTTTGAAGCGTCCGTCCAGAAGGTCGGACTGGCGGACGCCATGTAAACGCAGCAGAAGGTTCTTTGTGTCGATGTGCCGCTAACCAAGTTTTTTCTTCCTAATGCTGCGTCTGGCTAACCTTGTGGTTACCAGGATGATGAGGAGGGTATCTGGGCGTAGCCTGCCTTATGCCCCTCCCCTCTCTTTCACAGCCTTTTTGTTCAGAAGGGTGAGCTCGTATAAAGAAAGCCAAGCCTTTCACCTTCACCACCAGCATGTTGATTTTTTATTTCCCCCCCCCCTTCATTCATCTGTGTTCATATCGTTTGATGTTGGGTCACATTTGTTTGAGATTGAAAGCATTCGTCGTGTGTTGCCTGTGCAGCTCAAGAGTCTTAAATTTGCATGCAGTTTCTATGCGTCTTATTTGTTATAAATTTTACTCACTTAATTTTTTTTGTTTTGTTTTTTTATGATGAAGCTAAAGCTGTCGGTGACGGATAGCTATGCATGCATGCTGAATCATGATCACTGCGGCTTCATCGTTGTGCAAGCATTTGGACCGGATCAAAACTCTTCTTCTGTCATCTGGGATGCGATCAAACCTGACACTTCTCCTCTTCCTCCTCTCTACAGATGATACCCCCTCTTCTTGTCCTGTCCCAGAACCGCAGTAAGCTCAAACTCTACATCGCCCACCTGACAGACCTCTGCCATGACCGAGACCCCAGCATCCTCAGCCAGCTCACGCCTCCGTCTCACTACCACCACAGCGACCCTGAAGACTGGGAGGAGGAGCTTCAGAAAATGAGCGACGAACAGGTGCTGGGGAAGAAAAATAAAAATAAATCACTTTGTTTTACATTTCAACAAACTTTAATGTGTTTCAGTTGGATTTTTATTTTTGACAGATCAATAAAAGTTAATATATAAATGAACCTGGATGGAATAATCACATGGGTTTTATTTTTTTTTCTTTTATCTGTTAATCTATTAACTATGCAGTTCTTTAATATTCTGCCCCCTTTTTCTGTTACCCCTAAATAAATAGCCAAACAACTCAATGTGCTAACTAAAACATCCTACAATTGAGTTTTGCATAAATTTTTGTTAATCATTTTAATACTGCGTGCCTTCCTGCTTTTCAAATATTTTTAAGTCACTTTACTGAGGTAGCGACAAAAAGAAAAGTTCCCGTTTATATAGTTTTCAGTTTCCATGGCAACATCTCCACACAAGGCTCACTTTGATGCTGAAAATATCTCCAACACAAACATTTTCTTCCAGGAAAATCACTGGTTTTAAACTTTTAATAGCTGAGTTTTGTCTATTTTATGCTTTAAAATAACACTTAATTTTTTTCCTATCCTTCCTTTCAGATTTTGGACAGTTTTCCTACTTCCATAAATTTGGCCCTTTGTCTTGAAGATCTTACATTTTAGTGCTCAGAGTTTCAGCTCCTCTCTATGCATCTCTTATTTGCTGTAAACAGGCTGTTTGAACAAAGAGTGGAAAGCAGGTCAGAAACCAGGAGCTGCAGCAGCTGACATGAAAATCACAGACGGCTGAAATCAGTATCTTGAGTTTATTTAAAAATAGATGGATAGATAATAGATTCTTTGGACTGGATCTGGAAATTTGCCACATCTTTGAGGAGCTAGAAAGGTTTTAAAGAGCCGTTTAAAAATGTAAAAGTTTAGCTAACAGCTCACTAAAACATTCTCAGGGCTGCTGCTTTTAGAAGAGTTAGACAAACTCGAATCCTATCCTTTTTTTTTTTTTCCCCTGTGCTTCCAGTTGAAACGGGAGACTGAGGTGTGTGAGAAGGAGAACGGGGAGCTCCAGGAGTTTGCCAATTCAGTCCTCCAGCAAATCGCAGACTACTGCCCTGACATCCTGGAACAGGTCGTCAATGCGCTGGAGGAGTCATGCTGACAAATCTGACTTTGGACTTAAGCAAGCGGCGCCCAGGAAACCCCCGACCTCCATCCAAGAAGAAGAAGAGAGCCGGCCGGGGCGCCATCTTCTCCACCCTACATCAAGTGTCCAGGAAACTGAAGTGCTTTTCTGTCTCTTATGTCACTCTGAGGTCAGGCTGGGCTGCATCAAAATAAGGAAATTCACAAAGCGACACTTTTGAAGGCATGTTTTATTTAGTGCAAATGAGGGAGCAGAACTAAAGCACACACAGTGGGGCGATCTTTATCTGTTAGTGTAGCCGCATTGTAAAAGATGTTCCAGATGAAAGAAGGGAGCCTCACAAAGCCTTACCTCCAGCGGGAACTGACCTTCACGAGGCACTTTTGTCTCAGGCTTTTACCTCTTTTTTTTCATCTCTTGAGCCTTTCATGTTAAAACGGGAACACGGATCCCATCCTTTGGGACAGAAAAGCACTTTTTTTTTCTTTTTTTTAAATTTCTTGGGGAACTGCTACACCCAAAGGGAGCAGGGTGGAGTTGAGTTCGGAGGTGAGGCGTGGCGCCGTGTAGACGTTTGTTTTCAGTCTCGCGTCGCCTATCGTAGCGCCATCTGAATGCCACTTTTTAACCGGAGGAGCTCCTGAAGCGCTAGAGTCGGTACGTTACTGCGTCGTCGTTGGTGGCATTAGAGGGGGGATCAAGGCTCAACCTTTCACAGAAGATCTGAGTTTAGTTACCATGTTTATAACCGAGGAGAGGATTTAGGGGGAGAAAGCTTTTCTTTCATGTCTCGATGGTTTTGCACACAGCGTCCACTTGTTTATGAGGTATGCAATGTTTCTTTTTTTTTTCTTTTTTTGAGAACGTTCTCGTGGCCTTGGAGCATGCACAGAGATCAGTACAGGACCTAAATGCAGAGGCTTTTCCGCCTCTGTAATACTGGTGCTATGGCATGATGTAAGAACTGATCCTCATCCAAAGTTTCTAAAGGAGTTCCTTAAAGCCCACATACCGACGGCCCTTTTTTTTTGTACGCTCGGATGCCTCTGTTGGTGTTTGTTTCCGTTTGTTTTATTGTTCAGGGCTGAGTTTTTTAATTACCAAGTGCATTGATTGACATTTACAGAGGAAACGAAAGTCACTTTTCAAGCAGATTTTGACTTTTTAAGATCAGTTTGTAAATAACGTGGTATTCAACACGTACAGTAACTGAATAAAAGTAATAACGTGGAAGGTGTATCGTGCATTCTTAAAAGACAAAAAAATCAGAAAAGTTCAAAGCAGTGCAGTAGTCTTTTTGTGTCTAATTTTGTCTCCCCGGGACAAACGTATGTGTGACAGTGCTGCCATAAATTGCAGAAAGTCTATGTTCTATAGAGAAATATATATAAATAAGATATATGAGAAGTTTACTGTATCAATATGCATTGAATGTTTGCACAGAATCTCGAAGAGCGAGTTGCTCTGAACACAATAAGTGTTCTCAGCGAAAACTGAGGAAAGACGTGTTTTAAAAAAAATAAAGTGTCAAAATAATGTGTGAACTAAAGACATTTCAAACCGTGACTATGTGATGGGAGGGTAAATTCTCTCGAGTTTATTTCTAATCGTCTTTTTCAAATGCATATGCTCGCCAAACGGTGGCGCTATCCTAAGACGCCCATGTTGTCTTTTCTTAATCTTCGGTTTTTGTTGGTGACCCTGGTGCATAAAAACGAGTCTCCAGCTGTCGTAGCTCTCCTGCTATCAGCGATTATATTCAGCGGGTGTCAGAGTGAGAACCAAAGACACGGCTGGAGGTCAGAAATGAGAGTTGGATGCTTGTTTTTCTGTCAAACTGACTGAAAAGCTGTTTCTGTCCCTTTAGCTCCTTACAGCTGAATTCAAAGATCTTTCTCGCAGTGTTTCATTCCCCTTTACTTTGGCCTCGCTTTCCTTTCTTCCCTCAACATCTCTTTTCTTTTTCCTTCAAACTTTTTAACTGGGAACACAGAGCTAATCAAGGGGCTTTAAGTTTGATGTAAGTTTTTGCATTTGTACAAAATAAAAAAAATGTACTGCTGTCTGTTAATGTCAAGAATCAAACTGAATTAAAAAAAAAAAGACATGTTGGTTACATGGATTTTGTATGTATGGAAAATAATAAATTATGAGCCTCGTTTTCTTGTGAAGCTTTATTTTAATCAGAGGAGTAATTGTACACACACAGATGACAGGCTAAAAATAATTTTCTAAAAATCCTTTTTGAAATTTGTTTTTCTTCCTGTAGGATATATCTATTTCCAGTTAATTACAATTTAGTTTTTTTATTTGCCCATTTCCTGGTTAATTTATTAGAATTTATTTAGAATAATTTTGTTGGCCAGTAATTTCAGTTTGGGACACAGATGTTTCACACATAAATATGTAGGTTTTATATGCAGGTGGGTGGTCATTTGGTCTATAACCAGTTTTCCCAGTCAGACATCAGTCTGACACTCAGGGTGAACAGGTGAGACTCAGGTAAACAATATAGCAAGGGCACCTGGGAAATTTGGAACATGATTTGCCTGTAACTATGGAAAAAAAAAAGCAACATTTGACCCTTCTTTAAACAAAAAAGGACAACTGAGACGTATTTATAATCTTTATTCATAAATACCACTATTTTATGAATATAAAACATTAAATTACTGTGTTTTTTGGACAAATACTCTGGCATTACGATTGAAAGCTCTGAAAGGAAAAAAACAGTTTAATTGCATATAATCTGTGTAGCTGTTAACACTTTGCTGTAGCAGTGGAGGTGAATTTCATGTTTAAATAACTTTCTCAGAAATATTACAAAAAAAATGTACACAGGTAAACATGAAGAGACAGGAGTGATCCACCCACTTCAATTTGAAGTACAAATTTTCTCTGCGACAGTTATTCAATACAAACAAGTATTCAAACAAACAAAACAGAAACGACTTTAAAATTCAGGAAACCGAAACCTTTATTTTTTTTTTTTGTCTTGAATAAAAAGATTCTGCAATGAAAATCGTCTTGAATGTAAAAAATCTCTAAAAATATATACAATCTAGTCTAGTATTCACCAATAGTAGGCACTCCTGTGTTAAGTGGGCGAGGTAGCTGGATGGTCAGAATGCACACAGGCTGCAGGTTCGGCAAAGCAAGAGTCTGAGAAACTTTGGGGTAAAAAAAAAACAAACAAAAAAACATTGTGGAAGGAGTTGCTCCAGGTGGGTCCCTCTTTGCATGATCACAGTTTAAGGTTAAATTAAGAACGCCTTACAGGTGAACAACAGCACTATACAGGATGAAATGAGAAGCTGTCACCTCACTCTCTCACTCTCAGTCATCTGCCACAGTCCGAGGTTTAATACTTTAAGGCACGGGAGCTGCGTTATCCTCTCCAAACCCCTCTTGGTGATCTTAGTGCAACCATACAGATCGATCCCCGTCAGCTGAGTCAAGTGGTCCGCTATCAACTCCAAACCTTTGTCTGTGATTCGCACGCACTGCCCAATGTTGAGAGTTTTGAGTTCGTGCATTTGGCGCACCATCCTGTTGATCCCGTCGTCGCTGATGTGACAGGAGCACAGGGAGAGAGACTTGAGCTGATACAAGCCCTGGGCGATGTAGGCCAGGCTCTGGTCCCCGATCTTATCGCAGAAAGAGACGTCGAGGCCGGACAGCCGGAGGGAACCCATGGCCAGATGCATTATCCCCGTGTCACTGATGTTATCGCACGAGCGCAGGTTCAGGCTGCACAGCTGGGTCATCTGTGACAGGTGGATCATCCCTGCGTCCGAGATCCCCCCGCAGAAGCTGAGGTTGAGCACTTTGAGCTTGTTCAGGCCCTTTGAAACGTGTTTGAGAGAAAGATCGGTCAGCTTCTGGCAGTCCTGCAAGGTGAGCTTCTCCAGAGTCAGGCAGCCCTCTGCAGCGCTGCGGGTCATCCCGGACAGGTGGCCGATGCCCACGTCAGAGACGTGCCTGCAGCTGCGAAGGTTAAGGCTTTTGAGTCTGTGCAGCCCCCAGGCAATGAGCAACAGGCCGGTGTTGGTGATGTTGCTGCACCCGCCCAGCTCCAGCACCTCCAGGTTCTTCAGGTACTGGGCGATCCTGCCCAGGCTGGAGTCTGTGATCTGCTTGCACAGGCTGAGGTTGAGGACGCGCAGGGATGGGATGTCCTGCACAAAGGCATGTCCCAGACCATTGTCGGTGAGGTTGAAGCATCCACACAAGTTAAGGCTTTCGATCTGCGGCATCCCCTGAATCACGTAGCTCAAGCTTCGTCTCAGGCTGAGGATTTGGACCTTCTTGATCCCCCTGGTCTGCAGACTGGGGAACAGAGACGGGTTGGCTCTCCGTAGATGGAGCTTAGCTTCCACCCCCCTCCACACAGACTTGTGGTAGGACGCGTCTCTCCAGGCCGCGCACACTTGGGCTACCCTCCCTTTGTCCTTAACGTCCAAGTAGCTGAAAATAATGGCCAAGATTTCCGGGAAAAGGCACGATATGTGTGTTTCCGTTTGAAACATGACTGCTGGGTGACTTCTGCCAGCAGCACAGGTTGCCTAGGAGCGACAACAAAGCGGCGTTAGCTGCGCGAAACTCTGCTGCTGAAGTTATGTAGCATTAGCTCATGTCAGCTAACAAATTAGCATTGGATGCTGCGAAACAAAAAGACACCAGAACACTCCAAACAAATTTCACTAGTTTACTACATGGCTAGTCGAAATAAACTAACGCTACAGTTCACTTGTAAATAAAGCGGACTTAATTTTAAGGAAAAAAAGTGATATTTACCCAGAAAGTGTCGGCTTAGCCTTAGCTAGCTATCTAAAGTTGAGAGGTTGAAAGCCGCCGAACCTCCTCGTCCGGAACGACGTACTTTTTACTCCAAATCATCTCAAGCAAATACAGAACGTTTTATTCTGTAGAATATTGTAGCCATGTGCCTGTTTCCCGACTGAGTCTATCTTTAAGACCCGGCATTAGAGTAAACCCTTTCCTTACAATTGATACTGCGCCTGAGCAGCTGAAAGCTAGCTCGCCCAGCGGCTCCTAGTGGAGGCTGCGAGCAGGGCCGGTCCAAGAATTTATAGGGCCCAGTTAAAACAATAGTTTTTGGTGAGCTGGTCAGTATATTTCTGCAGAAGTGTCATAATTAACGAACAAATAAGTAATTAGGTACTTATGTACATGGAGACTGAATTAATAAATTAACATAAATAAATATGTCTATTTGATGGATTAAATAATTTAATAGATACATAATTCCATATTTAAATATGAAAATAAACATTTTCATTTTTTTAATTTATTGTTTACAAATAAGTATTTCAGTATTTATCATTTATAGTTCTGTATAGAAGCACAACCTTACCCAACAAAGTCAGAGGGGGGAGAGAGGACAGTAAAAATGAGGAACTTAATTCTACCTACACTTTCTTGAATGTAAGTAGACAAGTAATTGAATAATTTTCATACATATGAAAACAATTAAAAAGAATTTGCACCTTAAAATCAAATTTTGGTAGCCTTGTGTCTTAAAAACACTAAACAGCAGCAACAACAAAGAAGGCCAGGATTTTATCCCAGGACTTTCATGAAATGTGGTGAGGTGGTGAGGCAGACGCGGTGGACCCATCTTAAAGTGAAGGAAGTGATAATTTAATGATGAAATAAACACAATCCAAAATCCCAAATACCAGGCAGCACAGATGAGCGGAAAGCAAAGGCTCAATTCTGGTAGCAACTGGAGGAAACACTAGAGACACGGGCAAACAGCAAGACAGCCACGACAAGGACCCGACAAAGACACAGAAACACAGGTGACATGAAATACACAGAGGGCAATCACAGAACGAGACACACCTGGGAACAATCAAAGGGTAGCCAGGACAACACAAAAGACACAGAAACCTAAAATAAACATACAAAAACTCAAATTACCACAAGCACCTTCTTGCTGCATCAGTACTGGTGCACCCCCAATAATAATACCATAAAAAAGTGACTGCAAAACTCTAGACTGCAACATTTTAGTAGTCTGAGCTTTGGAATAGGTATACCACCTGTCTAAAAAAAAAAAAAAAAAAAGACAAAATTTGATTATTACTAAACGGACTATACTGGGTTCTGCTGAATATGTTTGCTTGGATCAAACTGTATGAATCTTTCTTTGAACTGACATGATTTTATCTTTTAAGGTGGCTTGAAATGGCATTTGTTGTGAAATGTTCTCCCAGTTATTTAAACTATTAAAGGTCAGTTTTATGGACACCTGATTCAGCATGTCCTTCTACTTCTGAAACTAAACTCAGATATTATCTGCTCCTAAAATAGCTCCATTAAGCAAATACCCTCTTTTGTTGATGTACCTTTCACACATTTAAATGAGACATTATGCATGTATTCAGGATAAATCCTCTTTTCAAATGTCCAAACCTTGTGATTCTTGAGTGTTTCAATAGTTGCTTCACATACAAAGAGTAATAAATAGAAGTTGAGTAAATTAACTGTGAAAAATGTCCATTTGGATTACGCAAGGAAATTTGTTGACAAATCTTTGTTTCACTCCCCTGTTGCACAGAGAATAAGATAAGGGATCATAGGAACTAGTTATTTTTACATACTACATGCAATATATTCATAGTTTGACACATTTTTAATGTCAAATAATTCCCAAATTAATCAGATTAACAGATACATAATTCCATTACTATTTTACAATCTCCAGCATCACATTGATTGATCTAAAAATCACCATTCCTTCAGCCAAATGGTAAAATTTCATGGAATACCTCATCCGGACTCAAAAGAGCTCATCAATTAAAATAAAAACAAATCCCAATTTATTTTCACCTTTGATGTTTTTGCTGCAGCTGATTTGTTTGTGACTGAAAAAGTACGACTTGAGGCAATCTGCCCTCATCATGCATGTCTATGTATTTAGTGGATTCAGCTGTTTGATTCCAGTGCAAACCTGGAAGAGGCTGAATAGATTGCATATTCCCCAATGAGTTTGCTCTGCATATTTTTCTAGCATCCTAGTCACAATGAATCATCCTCTGAGGAACGGTATAATCATACATTCTTTCAAACAAGTTTTATTTTCCACATTCCTTCCGACTGAGTGCTACTTAGTGTAAATGCATTTGACCTGGCAGGAGGCCACAGTTACTGCAGGGAGGCGTTTGCTGACCTGCTGACCTCTGGCAGAGACAAAGACAAGCAGCTGGGTCATCACTTTGAAATGGATGAGCAAGCCTCTAAATGTCAGATTGGCATCGAGTGCGAAGTGTTCACTCAAAACCTGACAGCTACACAACACAACGCCATGAATCTGTGTCACTAGTTTATAAATCCAACATCAATGAGCTGCTGTCAACAGTTTTCATTCTCCTTCACCAGCACAAGCTCTTGCCTCCACTAAATAGTCATTTCAAACTTTAACTCTGTGCTTTGTTTACTTTTATTACTTGTTTTATTGTAAAAACTGATTTATGATCGTGGGTGTAATTGTAAAGTGTTTTACTGAACTGATGTTTCTTTTTAATATGGTAAATAAACTTGACGTACTTTCCAGATTTTTTTATTTGTATTAAAAGTGGAAAAACTGTTCATTTTACTTCTTCCATTTCTCAGTGAGGTACTTTTAAAAATATATGTTTCATTCATCATTAGGATTGCGAATTATGACACACTTTACATTTACTTCATTTAGAAAATTAACACAAATGTGAGAGTGTTGTTTTTCAGCGTGGAAGGTTTCAGAGCATGCGTTTGTCCAGCTGCAGTTAGTTAGAGTCTCTTTTTGTAACTCTTGGCACGCAGAAACGCAGCGGCTCCTCACAGCAGTTCGCTCGCCGACCTGAAACAATAAATATCTGCAATTCCTGGCATACTTCAGGGCTCCTGTCCGGCTCCCTTCCTTTGACTACCTCCTGGTCTCTGCAGACGTCTCCAAACTGTTTTAGAGAAGTTCTCTTGAAGCCACCATAAATGATCATCCAAAGAAACGGTCTTCTTTGCAATATCTTATTTTAAGACTCCACATTTCAGTTTAAAAAGTAATGCAAAGTTCAAAGCCAGTTCTGACACTTAATCCAGTATATTGTACAAACTAATACATATATCTGGCGATCTATCTGTCAGAGTTGAAAATAAACCACTTAGATCAACTACTGAATGTAGCTTATGTGAGTCCTTTAGAATAAAGTTCAAACAAACGATAATTGATTTTAGCGGCACAGTTGATCCATGCTTTTATATAAAAAAATGATCAAACTACCAGAGGTGGAGGGCGGCTAACCTAAGTCTAAGATATCTCCCTTAACTTGAAGATTTGAGCCGTCAACAAGAGAAAGTATTTGCTAGCACAGTTTTGTTTACATCCTATTTAAATGCAGTAAGAGATAAACATGGTGTGAATGAAAGAGAATCACGACTTTTATGATTCTCTGCTGTGTGATGTGAAGGGAAAAATTGTTCAACACTCATCAAAGCTCCCAAATTTGAACTAAGTAAAATAATTTCTTCCAGCTTCCTAAAATGTTGAAGTTTTTTTTTTTATATACTATCTCCTTTTAAATACTTCTTGCACAAAGTGTATTTCTGCATGGAAAAAAATAAGTTTTACCATATATGGGTGGTCCTCAACACTCAGCGGACTTGTGGCTCTTAAACAGCCTAAATTCACAAGGACCTTTGAAGCACCTTTTTACTATCTATCACTTTCAGCTGCTCACTCAAACCTTTGTATCTTTAGTAATCCGAGACCCCATTTAAGCAATGATAAAGAGGCAAAACTGGAGCGAGTTTATGGTCACACTGATGCCTCGTAGTAACAAGGTTCTGGACTTAAATCTTCATCAGGGCTTTTATGTGAGGAGTGTGTTTTCCCCCTGTGTCATAGGTTTTCTCAGTGTACTCAGGTTTCTTCCCATCATACAAAATGTTTATGTTGGGGTCACTGGAAGTTCCGAGTTTCCCTTTGGTTCGAGTGCATTTGTGCATGGCTGCTTGTTGGCCCCATGATGGACTGGCAGCCCATCCAGGTCGAACTCCACCTCCTGCTGATGACATTTAGCACAGACTCCTGCCGCTGTGTGACCTTTAACAAGATTAGGTGGCCATAAAATTGGCCCTGCAAAAGCATTTTGCACATTTCACTGCGGTACACAAATAAAAAGATTTTACTACGTAAAAATCTTAGAATCTGTCAACAGCTCAGCTATGCAAGAGTAGAATAATGTAAGGGGAGCAGCAAGTATGCAGAAGAAGTCACTGGTCAGACATGGATAATAACTGCATCCTGAACTCATCTGGAAACAAGGTGGTGGCAACATCATGCTGTGGGGATGCATTTTTTTTCAGCAGGTACTGTAGGATAGGGGTGGAACAACAAGGTCACTTCCTCGAAATATCTTTGAATCATTAAAAAAAATGTCTGCAAACTCTTTATTTCATCGTGTGTGTGTATGATATGTAAGCCAACACTATGGAATACACATTTTAAAATGTAATAATGTCATCAATCTTTAATGATCTGGAAACATGTATGTTACTGGTTTGAGTTGATGTGAAGATTTCTCTACTTATTTTACCTCTGAAAGAAGTTATATTTTAATTGAAGCCTCATGTGCTACGCCGCCAGCAGAGGGCAGCACTGCTCTCTGCAGTGAAATTTAAGAAATTTAAACACACAAAAATTAAACGAATCCCTTTAATCACGAACATTTTCAAAACATCGTTTCTTGGCTTACAGCAGAACAAACATAAGTAATAAATTAAGTAAAAACACTTTCTTTGTTTTGTGCTTTGTAGAAGTTTAGACAAACATGGCTTAAAGAAGCAACATCAACCCAGAGTAAGGTGAGATGTTAGCGGAATGAGATGAGATCGGAAGAAAACACAAACCAAAAACAGAAGGAAATATGAGTGATGGTGATTCCCCTTTCGGCCTCCCCTGTGGCTGGACTTGTCTCTGCTAATGACCCTGTCTGCTGGCTCCCGCAGACAGATGGTGAATTAACTCCAATTAGCCCACTCTCACCAGATCTTCTCTGACAGCTCGTCATACAC